GTCGGCAGAAACATCGGATGGTGGTCTTGAAATTTTTTCGGCAATGTCTTTTGTCATTTGATGAACACCATTTCCAAACAATAGTCGCTTGGGGCCTAACTTACATCTCATTTCGAGAATCTGTTGGATGGAAACCGCCAACTTTGGATAACGATTTGTTAAAATTTTTAACGCCACTTTAGCTATAGCATTTTTTGCATCCTTTTGTCTGTCGTACAATAGTTCGGTTTCCCACTCTTCGTTCTCATAAGTTAATTTACACGAGTATTTTCTATTGACCTTCGACTTGTCGTAAACGTATATTGGTGGTAACGCGTATTTTAATTTTTGATGAAACAATGCGACAACAGCTGATGGTGAAAACTCGGATTTAAATTCTTCATATAATTCCCACCCTGTTTTTGTACCGGAAAACATTTGTTTCTAAAAGTTTTTTTTTTTTTTAAAAATAATTAATATTTTTGTAAAAGGTTTTTTGTAAAAAATTTTCTTTTTCAATATTGTTTTTTTTTTTACTTTTTAAAATTTGCCGATAATTACCAAATTTAGTTGACACATCCACAGTCGCGTTCAAATTTTTTGTTTAAAAAAAATGTCGTCAGAAAAAACCTCTGTATTAGCTTTAAAATGCGCTAGATTAAAGCTAAGACCAAACAATGTTCCTGATGAGCTACCTGGTCGCGAAAGCGAGTACAAGCGAATCTATGGAAAAGTTAGATCTGCGATTGAACAATTTTCAGGATGTTGTATTTGTAAGATTAACATTTACACGTACTTGTCTTTACATGTCATAATAATTTGATATATTTATATATGTCCGCTCCTAAATTAGGCGTATCAGGTCAAGCTGGAACCGGTAAAACGGCAACTGTAGAATGTGTCATGGATAATTTAAAGAAGGAAGTTAGCGAAGTTAGCGAAATGGTAAACCATTGAATTGATCGATTTGATTTGATTTGACAATAATTAATTACAACAATATTTAATATTCATTTTTCTTTCTAAAAAAAAGTCGTTCCATCTTGTTAAAATCAATGGAATGGAATTAAATTCACCTGAAGAATTGTATACTATATTATGGAAACAATTAACTGGTGTTATTGTAAATAGTTCCGATGCTAAAAAATTATTAGATGCAAGATTTAAGGCTAAATCTGAACCAGGTCACAGAAATCAATCATCCTTAGTGAGCGAAAGAAGGTCATCAGACTACAAAAATCGATCATCTTCAGTGAACAAAAGAAGACCATTATATTCACCTTCTTTAGTGGAAAAAAGAAGTCGTTTTTACCATAGAAATCAAAAAGATCTTCCTTTGTTCACTAAAGATAAAGTGAACAAAAGAATATATTTTGGAGATCGATCATCTTTAGTGAACAAAAAACATTTTGACCGCAGAGATCAATTATCATTGGCGAAAGAAAGAAGACATTTGTACCGTAGAAAGCAATCAACCTTAGTTAAAGAAAGAAGACATTTTAGAGGTCGGTCATCTTTAGTGAAAGAAGGAAGACTATCAGATTATGGAAATCAATCAACTTTAGAACACAAAAATCAATCATCCTTAGTGAGCGAAAGAAGACCATCAGACTACGAAGATCGATCATCTTTAGTGAACAAAAGAATACATTTAGACCATAGTCGTTGTTTTTCATCTAAACCATTCATAGAATTGATACATGAATTTGCAGCAAAAACACACGTTATGAAACCTAGATATCAAATTTTCGAAATAAAAGATACAGATAAATTAGATAAATTTTACTCAAAAATGTTTCTCAATGGGGTTGAATACACGGGAAGAATTCGATCCAACGAAATACTTGCGAAGGAATCAGTAAGCCTAATCAGTTATGAATCTATAGTAAATTCAATAAAAAGAAGTTAATATAATAAATAATTTAAGGGAATGATAATGAATTAATAAAATAATCATATTCTTTCAAATGTTGTGTTACATGCAATTTTTTTTATATCAAAAATAATGAATTGGAAAATTTTAAAGGTAACTTATATAATAATAAATAAACAAGTTATTACATGAGCTATATAATATACCGAATAATGTTTGGTTAACAAAAAACCGAAATACGATATTAAAATTCATTTTGGCTACTATGAAAAACCAATTTCGGCCAGGTGATTGAGCTTATTGAAATTTGAAAAATCGAGTAAAAATGTTTTTTATTATATGTATATAGCAAACTTGAAAATGTCTTGGCTTTAATTCTATGATTTTTTTGGTTATGCATTTCCATATTTGGAAGAGTTAGAGGATATATATATATATACAAAGCCAATAAAAAAGTTCAGTGACTACACAATAACATAGTGAACATTTGATTTCATTGGCTAAATTTTATGACGATCTCCCTTCTAGATATCACTCAAAAATTAAATTTTATTGGCTTGAAGATTGTTACGTAAATTTGAAAAACAAAAATTATCGGAGGGAAGGAAATTTAGTTTCGAATTGATGTTTATAATATGTAAAAATATTAATATAGTATTTCTTTATTGAATGTTTTTAATACATAGGCTTGGTTTTTCATTACAGTCTAATATATTATTTATTTTTCAACTTTTCATTGACTTCATCAAATCAACATTTTACCTTTGATCATGAATTATCGTCCATTATATAATACTGTATATATATATATGTATCATTTCCTATAAATAAATAAATTGGTGGCATGAATATGAATACATGAATTTGAAAATAAAAATAAAAATGAATGTAAATATAAATATAAATGTAAATATAAATGTAAATGTAAATATAAATATAATAAATATAAAAGAAATATTTTAAATATGTTTTTAAATTGTATGCGTCACTTTATAATTATACCCTGGGTATATCTGTTATTGTTGTTTAAAAATCCTTGTTTTTTAAATGCATCAAAAAATCAAGATATAACCTATTATATGATCTTCGTACTACTGGAAAAGTTGAATATAAGTTATAAGCTAATCAAATATATAAAATAAATACTTATTTCTTTAAAGTATAATAATAATGAGAATATAGAATAAGTCTTTACTTGCAAGTATAATAATGACTTATTAATAAAGGAAAATGTTATCGTTCATATTTAAAAAAAATGTAATAATAAATAATAATAATAATAATAATAATGACACAATTCTGACATACAAGATCACAGAAGCCTTAAACTTTTACTTCTGAGTCAAAGCGATATATAAAAAATTTTTTCTCCATAAAATGGGTTTTGTGCGCAGTCACGCGACTTTTTTCTATTCTAAATTTAATTGAAATAGCAAAGTTTCACAATATAAAAAGATCGACGATCGATTTTGTCACAAGTGATAAAACGAATGTCCCACCATGGATACCCCAAAATTTAGGGATCTTTCCTAATTCATGTGATAAAATTTGCTAATTAATTTTCATTTTGTTTTTTCCAACTTGTCAAAATGGAAAAGCTTTCAAAAAATGAAAAAGAGACTCCTGATAGTTCCGATGCTTCTCTACGTAAGTTCACTTTATCTGTCAATTTTACTAAAATTATAGCTTTCAATTTTCTGATCAATTATAACATTAATAAAGATACTGCAAAAGCAACTTCTAAAAAAAGTACACAGGATGCTTCAAATCAAAGTGAGTATTTTTCTAAAAGAGTACGCTCATTTTAAAAAATATATTTTTCTACACGGAATAATTCAAACCAATTTCAAGTGTTTTAATTTATAAAAAGCTTTTCAAAATAATGCGACTAATTTATTTATGCAGATAATATAAATAATATAAATAATAGCAAGGATAATAATCAAGACGAAAAGACAGCATTGTCAGTAGGTCATGATTCCGTGAAATCCATAGTTCCTCTTGATATTCTAAGACAACTATATCTTCCTGGACAACAGCAGGACAGGATTTTTGATCCAACAACGAGAACAATATCTTACCTTCAATCGCAATCATTTTTTCCTGTAAAGTCGTTACGATCTGATGAGAAAAAAAGAATACTAGTTACTGGAGGTGCAGGCTTTGTTGGCTCTCATTTGGTTGATAGATTAATGCTAATGGGTCATGAAGTAATCGTACTTGACAATTTCTTTACTGGTCGTAAGAATAATGTTGCTCATTGGATAGGGCATCCTAATTTTGAATTAATCCGTCATGATGTAGTAGATCCATTTTTAATAGAAGTAGATCAAGTTTACCATTTGGCTTGTCCCGCTTCTCCGCCACATTATCAATATAATCCAATAAAAACAGTAAAAACAAGTGTAATGGGCACAATAAACATGCTTGGACTTGCTAAAAGAGTTAAAGCTCGTTTTCTGTTAACATCTACATCAGGCATGTATTAATTTTTTCTTTGATTTTCGTCTATAGACATAATTGAATTGACGTTAAAATATTAGTGACAAAGAATATTATAATTTTGTCTATTATTTGTGAGTATATATATAAGTTTAATATTTAATTAATTATTGACAACAAATTATTAGATATTATAAAAATCAAATTATAATAAAAATGAAAAGTTTTTAATATTAGAACTCTTAAATAGTATTAGTACTATTAATTAGATTAATTAATAGTTGCATCATTGAAAACATATATATTTATTTTATTTACAAAATATTAATAATTGTTAGAAGTCTATGGAGATCCAGAACAACACCCTCAAACAGAAGCATATTGGGGACATGTCAATCCTATTGGTCCTAGAGCTTGTTATGATGAAGGGAAAAGAGTTGCAGAAACATTAACTTATGCTTATATGAACCAAGATTTTGTGGATATAAGAGTGGCACGTATATTCAATACTTTTGGACCTCGTATGCATGAAAATGATGGTCGTGTAGTAAGCAATTTCATTATGCAAGCATTGAAAGGAGAAGAACTTACTATCTACGGGGATGGTTTACAAACTCGATCTTTTCAATATATTCATGATTTGGTGGATGGTTTAATTTTACTGATGAATACAGATTATAAAGAGCCAATTAACTTGGGAAACCCTGATGAATATACTATACGTGAGTTTGCTGAATTAATCATTAATGAGGTTAATAATTCTTGTAAGATTAAAAAACTGCCTGCTCCAAAAGATGATCCTAAAAAACGAAGACCAGATATCAAAAGAGCAGAACAAATTCTTGGTTGGAAACCAAGATGGCCAGTAAAACAAGGTATATACGAAACTGTTAAATATTTTCGCAGGCAAATGGATGCGGGTCTCATATAATATGTATACATGATCAAATTTTTTATAGAAAATTAATAAAAATCCTTTTTTGTTTTTTAATTATATATTTTCTTAATTTATTATATATATATATATATTATATTAATATTTCATTTATCTTATGTATATTTTTATTAAAATCAAATTAAAAAAATTGCAAATTTAAATGGCGAAGTCGATCAATTCCTATTTTGTTGCACATTTATTTTTTTTTTTCATCGAAAAAAAATGCCAAAAATTTATGTACCTAAATATGAGAAGGGTCAATTTGACGATGTAGTGGAAGAAAAAATTTCAAGTGATATGTCAAGAGATAACCATAAAGTTGACATTTATAAATATGAAGAAGATTATGATGATGATGATTTTTTTGAGGATGAATTAAATGATAACGACGGACGGAGTAATGCTAGTGGTGGTAAATGCATTTTTTTCTTGTTTGTTTATTATTAATAGAATCATTATGCTATAAATATATACGTGTGTCCTTGTTCATCTTTTGAAGCGAAATTACAAAATCATATGAAAATTCTAAGTAAATATACAAATAGGATTCATCTTGGCAAGTAGTATATTTTATCAATAATAAGAAGGGATTTTGCAAAAAAAGAATGGGAATTTACATTATACGTGTTTCTGTAAAAAATAATATAGGCGATGTTGATACTAGTAACTTCTCATCATCTGTAACAAACGATATAAAAATGAGTAACAAGAAAGCTCAAGGAGAAAAGTAAGGATTTTTTGAAAGAAGAAGACAAAAAAGTTTAGCCATTAATCGATAAATTAATTAAACAATTTGCTTTACTTTTTTGATCGATTAATATGACAGACAAAAATATAGTGATAAATCAGACCGTGCCACAACAGAACAAGTATTAGATCCACGTACAAGAATTATATTATTTAAATTAATAAATAGTAATTTAATATATGAAATCAATGGTTGTATAAGTACAGGAAAAGAAGTAATTTTAATTAGTCATTCATTTCACAAAGTCAAGAAATTTGTTTCTCAATTATTAAAATTGATTTTAATAATAACAATAATTACTATTACTGCTACTTTTATCGCCATTATAAGGCAAATGTATATCATGCAACAACAGAGTCAAATGATCACAGGGCTATAAAAGTTTATAAAACCTCAATATTAATATTTAAAGATCGTGACCGTTACGTAACAGGAGAATTTAGATTTAGACATGGATATAATAAACATAATCCACGCAAAATGGTAAAATTATGGGCGGAAAAGGAAATGAGAAATTTGAAAAGATTATGGCAAGCTAATTTACCATGTCCAGAACCTATTTTGTTAAAGTTGCATGTATTAGTGATGAGTTTTTTAGGTGATAAAAATGGATGGTAAGTTATAGATGTACAGATATATAATATAAATTTATATTTTATAAATTTTTGTTTGTTTCTTTTAACGATTAATGATTTGAAATGATTTATTTATTTAATTAAAGGGCATATCCAAGACTAAAAGACGCAAATATTAAATCAGATATTTATCCAGAATTGTACTATCAAATTATTAAAAATATGAGGATTATGTTTCATAAATGTAGGCTTGTTCATGCAGATTTAAGTGAATACAATTTATTGTAAGTTTTATAAGCATTGATAAAATAATTACTTGCATCAAAAAAAAACTTTTTACTAATACTCGAATGTTTTCAGATATAACTCAAGGAAACTATATATTATAGATGTGTCACAATCTGTAGAACATGATCATCCGCATGCTTTAGGATTTTTGAGAAAAGATTGTGATAATATTACGGAATATTTTCGGAAAAAAGATGTAAAAGTGATGAATATCAAAGAACTATTTGATTTTATTACAGATTTAGGATTCGGGATAGAGGATGAACAAATTGACAATGAGCTTGACAAGGTCATTTTAAATAAAGCGTGAAAACAAAAAAAATTTTTTGAATGATTAAAAATTTTAATGGGAGTTTTATTGATAGATTCAAGAAAAAATGAATCTACAAGAGCAACAAGAAATAGGAGAAGACAATACTGATAAAGGATCTAAAGAATCAAAAAATTCTGTTGATGAAGAAGTATTCAAAAAGTCCTTCATACCAAGAACATTAATTGATGTGATTGATGCTGAGAGAGATACTGATATAATAAATAAGGGTGATGGTGATGAGGTAAATTATATAGATATTTAAATATCCAATAATCAATCTTTGATAAGTATTAAAACTGATTTATTTTATTATTGTTGTTATTCTAGTTGATTTATCGTAAACTTGTGGGTCTTTCAATATCTAACGACAACAATACAATTGTGAAAGCAAATAAATCACAAGAAATAATAAATAATCCTAATGACATTAATAATGACAAAAACTCTGATGATGATGACGGCGACGACGACGACGATGATGGTGATAATCATGATAGTAATGAAGATGATACCGGTATTGATAATGGAGATATCTTATTTGAATATAAGTCTAGAGGGAAAAAAAATATGGATAAAGAGGCTAAAAAAGTAAATATAAAAATATGTATTAATTAAAATTTCACACATTGTTAAAAATTTATTATTATTATTTTAATCGATATTAAGGAACATAAAAAACTTGTCAAAGAAGTAGCAAGAGACAAAAGAAAGAATAAAATGCCAAAATCTGTAAAGAAAAGAAGAATTAAAAATACTTCTGGTAAGAAAAAATAATTTATTGATTTATTTGATGAAATTTGTTTGAAAAGATTTTTCATTGTATATTGAAAAAAAGAAAATAATTAACAAGTAAATAAAGATAAATTTTATTATTATTTACATTTAATCGATTATATTAAATATATATATTTTTTTTAAAAATTAAATATTATATAAGATCTACAATATAAATTATTAGTTTATGTCTAAAATTTTTTTTAATTTAACAACCAATTGCCATTCTTCTTTACTCAAATCATTCCTGAACGACTCTTTTAATATGTCAATAGATTGACGTGTTATCTAATAATAATAATAATAATAATAATAATAAAATTATATATGTATAAATATTTAGTTGAAAGAATAAAAAATATATGAATAAAAAAAATATTTAATGTATTTACCCTACTATACAAATCATCCGATTCTGTAAAATGCCGTCCACACAACTTTGGTGTTTCGTACACAGGACATTCAATTTTTATAGCAACCCCTCCGCTTACTTGGCCTCTTTTAACTTGCTCAATAGATTTATGATTTTGTTCAATGCTAGTCACTTTTCCAAGGGTAATAATTTCTCGCACCTAAAATAAATAAATTTCATCAATTTAAAATAATTCACTTAATCACATAGTTCAATGAATAGAAATGACACCTACATTGGTTGTTGGATCTGTTTTTACAACACAGATTGGAGTTCCTGTACGTAAAACTCCTTCTGCAACATCAACACCAACTATAATGGGATCTCTTTTGTTAAATACTGCAATGATCTTTAAAATACAGGGGAAAACTGCTTGAGGCGCTTGATCTTTACGTTTTTGTTCCAATATTTCCTATTCAAACACGTTGGTGAATTATTTTATTTCTAAAAATAAATCAATATTATTTGCAAAATTAAAAAATAAAAATAAAACATACTTTATTATAAGCCGTGAATTGATCAAATAAATGATAAATAATATCAGCTTTAAATATATTTACGCCCAATTCATCAGCCAGATCTTGTGCATCTTTATCAACCTTAACATCAAAACACAACATAACAGCTAACCTATTTTTTTTTTTTTTTTTAAAAAATTAAATGAGATATTTGAATTAATAATAAATAATAGTAATAAATTAAAAATAAGACCTACTCTCTAGCTTTTTCCAACATTATAGCAGCACGCATAATATCTTTTTTATGAACTGGCCCAATATTTATTCCAGAGACTGGAATATTTGATACTCTTAAAAACTCTATAAGTGCTTCTAAAGAGCCTAACGTAGATGCTTGTACGCATACACCTTTTCCAGATTTGTCAACAGAACTCATTAAATCCTTAAGATCTGACATGACCTCATCTTTAAGGTCTTCTTCATCGTCATCAGGACCAACAACCATGACACGAGATCCTGCAATAGCCTTTTCAAGGTCTTGGGCTGCAATTTTAACGCCAAGAGCTGCACTCACAGTTTTATGATGCACATATGCTGACTTGATACGAAGTTCTCTCAAAGGTTGTGGTGTCAATAAAGCACGAATAACTGTTACAATTGGTCCATTAACACCACATAAAACAATTTTATCTCCTTCATTCAATACCCCATTAGACAAAACCGCATCAATAGTTGTACCAAGTCCTTCAACAACCTTGACTTCTAAAACTGTACATTCTGTTTCAGTAAGATACATCAACTCATTACTCATCCTGGATTGTGTTAAATTTATAAGCAACATAAGCATATCTGGAACTCCTTCTCCAGTGACAGCCGATGTAGGAACAATTGAAACATATTTTGCAAAGTTTTTGTTTTCATAATACAAACAAGAATTCAATCCCTGTCAGTCGTGTAAATATTATTTTTATCAAGTAAATATGGTGTATGTGAATGTATGTATGTGAATAACAATCTTTATTTATTTATTTTAAACTATACTTACTTGCTCTGAAAATGCTAAAATAGCCTTTTCAACCCTGTCTTGGAATTCCCTTTTGACAGTATCCGACTGTTTCTCGAGTGAATCTCGAAAGGCATTATCTGGTATAGTTTTCCAACCATAAATACGATCAATCTGGACAACAAATATATAATGTGCATTTTATTAAAAATATATAAATATAGTGTAAAATCCAATTCAGAATTCTTTATAAACCTTATTTAGAGCCACAATAAATGGTGTTTTACGATCACGCAGCAATCTTAAAGACTCTAATGTTTGTGGTTCTAAGCCATGCTATTAAATAAACTATATAAATATGCATGCGAAAGCTATTTGTTTATTAAATAATCAAAATAAGTAAAAAAAGTTTTTTTTTACCATTATATCAACTACAAGAATAGCAATATTACAGAGTGAAGAGCCCCGAGTTCGTAGATTTGTAAAAGATTCATGCCCAGGTGTATCTATGATCAACAAACCCGGAAGTTTGTATTCTTGTTTCCCATCCTATATAAATAAAATATAAATTTTAATACAAAATATAACTTTTGAAATAATATTATGAATCACGTATAACCTTATTAAGGGGAGCAGTTTTAGTTTTGATAACTTCCATAGGAAAATATGTAGCACCTATTTGTTGAGTAATACCACCAGCTTCACCTTCTTGAACATTTGTTTTACGAACTTTGTCCAGTAATTTTGTTTTACCCTATTAAAGAATGAGTAACATCATAACAATTAATCAAGTTAACTGCGTTAAAATCATTGAACTCTGACAACTTACAGTATCAACATGCCCCAAAATACAACAGATCGGAGACCTCAAATTCTCTTTGGAGCGAGCAGCAAGAGCTTCTTCATGTCGTTTCTATAATAAATCAATAAAGTTAATTAAAAGTAATATCAAATTAAATTATTAATTCAATGTTTTATTGAATAATCAAATAATTAATCAATTTTGAACATTTACTTGTCGACGCTCAGCCGCCTCTTGTTTACGAATTGCAATTTGTTTCTGATGTTCTGTCATTTCTTCATCTTCACTATCAGATTCTTCCTCGCTGCTTTCAGTTTCTTCTTCAGAGTCTATTTTGCAGTTTTAACAGAAAATTCAATATAATAACTCCAACACAAACAAATCTGACCATGATATTTAATATATAACTATTACCTTTTTTAGAAGATACAACTTTCTCTTTACTTTTCGCACCATCTTCCTTCTCTTTACCTTTCGCTTCTTCTTCCTTCCCTTTATCGTTCGCCACCACTCCCTTCTTTTGGCCTTTCGCTCCCCCTCCCTTCTCTTTGGCTTTCACACCTTTTTCGTGCCCTTTACTTTTCACACCTTCTTCCTTCTCTTTATCTTTCGTCCCCACTTCCGTCTTTTTACCTTTCGCACCTTTTTCCTGAACTTTATCTTCCATACCTTCCTTCTCTTCATCTTCTGAGCTTAAATCCCATTGTTCTTTTATAACTTGTTCATTTTTAGGTTTAACTTTGACATCTTCCTCCTCCTCTTCATCTTCATCTTCCTCCTCCTCTTCATCTTCCTGCTCCTCTTCTTTATCTGATTCAATCTTCTTATTTTCCTCTTCTTTGTCTTCAACTTTATCTTGTGTCTTAATTATTTTTTTCTTTTTACTGGAATAATTAGGTTTTTTTGGTTGTTCACCAGCTTGTTTATTTTCAAACCCTTCAATTTTGATACCAGTACCAGCCTGAAGCAATTGTTGTAAACGTAGTTCACCTTGTTGCTTCTTTGCTTTTTGAGATTTCGTTAAAAGCTTTCCTTCTTTTTTAAGCTGCTCTTTTTTTGCCTAAATTTTTGATATGAAATCATTTTAGAAAAAATAATACCAGCCATTAACTAGTTAATTGTACAAGAAATTTTGATTATATTTATTCAAAGTTATTGATTACCCTTTCTCTTTCTTTCTTTCTCTGTTTAATTTCTTCCTTACGACGTATTTCTTCTTCGATCTTTTTTTGTTCCTCTAAAAATATTTTTTGAAAAAAAAAGTAAGCATTTATTTCTGATGAAATTATATAAACTATCGATTAATTGATACCTTCAATTCTTCTTTGTTCTTCTTCTTCTTGTCGTTTTCTTTCTTCCTCAATAGCACTGAAATAAATAAACAAACATAGTTGTGTAAAGATTCGATCAATCACTAAATAATTTTACAAATAATTTATCAAGCTGTTTACCGTTGTGCCTCCAAGGCTGCTTTAATTGCAGCAAGTTGTCCCTTCTTTTTTGGCGCTTTTTTATCGTCTACAGCAGCAGCTGCTGCTGCTGGCTTCTTTTTCTTTTTCTTTTTCTTATTTTTTGCTTTATCTTTTCCTTCTCCACCTCCCTCTTCTTCCTCTTCCTCTTTTTCCACTTCTTCCACTTCTTCCGCTTCTTCCGCTTCTTCCACCTTTTCTACCTCCTCTAAATTTTCCTCTGCTGCTGCTACTGCAGCTGATTTCTTTTTCTTTTTCTTTTTTTTATTTTTTGCTTTATCTTTTCCTTCTCCGCCTCCCTCTTCTTCCTCTTCCTCTTTTTCCACTTCATCCACTTCATCCGCCTCATCCGCCTTTTCCACCTTTTCCACTTCCTCTAAATTTTCCTCTGCTGCTGCTACTGCAGCTGATTTCTTTTTCTTTTTATTTTTTTTATTTTCCATTTTTTTTTATTGATTCGTAGCTGATCAATTACGAAAATCCTTCATAAATCGATGCAGACACGTGATATAACCGATCTTTGCACCATAATAATAATAGCAACTATTTACGAATTACAAAGATGAAAAAGATAATAAAATTAAAAAGAACAAATACATTAACAAGAACAACAATAATAACAATACCATAAAAAATAATAACAACAATAATGGTGAAGAATTATGGTGTAGTTGGATATTGAATGGTATAAAATATGGTAACAACTGGAGAGACTTTTGTAGTAGTACTGACATTTTGTCAGTTTGTTCCTAAAGAAAATTAGTGCAAAGGCTAAACTGAATATTGAAATCAATAATCAGACTAATTGGAAGGAACAGACGATGAACAGTCGACCTAGACGAATATAAATCATTACGGGGGGTAGTTACATGTTAAATAGAACTAAATATTTGTATAACAACAATAATAATATATAAATTTTTCTAATAAACAGTACTGCATCGTTAAAAAAAAAAATAACTATTTACGAATTATGGAAAAAAGTAAATAATTCACAACAGCTTCTAATGATTATGCAAGGGAAGATAGGGGTTCTATTCGAATAATTCATAATTAATTTGAGTAATCGAACCACATTGAATGAATGAATGATTATTTTTATTCGGATCAAATGAATCAAACGAATCAAAGATTAAATTGTTTGAAAAAATTAATAATATTACTATTACGAATAGAAATCCTGGCGTAGCCTAACGTTTTTATTATCCAAAATGCAAATTTCTGGTGAAAAAAATACACTTTAAAACTGTCAATTAATAAATGTTCTGTTTCTTTGACAGTGAAAACAAATTGTTCTTTTAATATTGGCGGGAACAAATGGTTGACAAATATTGCTTAAAGGACCTTAATAATTGGTCGAGAAAATGTAAATTATGTAAGCGCTCATATAGGTATAACTTTATGTTGATTAGAAAGAAACCACTTGAGGAAACACCTTTGTTTAGATCGTTATAATCCATTTCTAATGAAATTGCGAACAACAAGAGATTCTCTATACTATTAAATAAATTATGATAATTGAATTAAATTAATTAAAGCATTATTAATATGAATAATAATAATCACATACCAGTTATCAAAATGGAAATAGCCAATTAGTTATATATTTATGGAATTACATCTTTAATATTGAGTACCGTGCAAGTACACCTTGTTATCCTGAAAACATGTATGTTTCCCTTGTGAGGAAAACCAAAATCATGCAGCAAATGTTAATTTACGTGTATTGTTTTCCTGATGGATAATTACAATCAAAATAATACTCTCCTCGTCAGTTCAATTTTTCCCTTTGGTACTTTCTTGTGAATAAACAACAAAGGCATTTTGGCTTGCATTAATTGCCATCTCTTTTATGACATAAATCACCATTTAAACCAAAAAATCACATTGTGTTTGTAATATAGTTATGAAATTAGAACACTTGACATAAGTATATAATTTTTTTACTTCTATAGTTGGCTCGGTCTAAAGACCTCCTAAATTTTGTGCAAATTTTAAAAGTATAGAAGTCATTTTCTGCCCTACCT